CTCAGAGTTCCACCTGCCTCTGCCTCCCAAGTGCTGGGATTAAAGGCGTGCGCCACCACACCCAGCCCTATATATAATTATTTTTATTTTATGTATATGAGTGTATTGCCTATGTGTGTGTAAGTGCACCATGTCATGCAGTGCCTACAGAGGTCTCAAAAAAGGCGTCAGATACTCTGGAACTGGAGTTACAAAGGGTTGTTAGCTGCTGTGTGGGTGCTGGGAATCAAACCTGGGTCCTCTGTAAGAGCAGTGAGAGCTCTTAACCTCTGAGTCATCTCTCTAGTCCCCTCAGTTACTTTTTTGTTGTGTGATAAAATACCCTGACCAAAAGCAACTAAAGGAAGTTTATTTTGACTTATTGTCCCACAGGGCTAGATGTCCATAATGATGGAGAAGTCAGGGCAGCAGGTGCAAGATGCTGAGCGATCACATCTTAACTGCACACAGTAAGGAGAGCAAAAGTGGGACGAGCTATAAACTCTCAAAACTCAGTCCCTGCAGCTTCCTCCAGCAAGGCACCATGTCCCAAAAGTTCCATAATTTCCCCCAGGCAGCACTGCTTCCTTGAGAGTAGTGTTCAAATACAGAAGCTTGTGAGGGATTTTCTTTATTTAATCCACCACAACAGGTAATACAAATGCTCTCTAGATAGAGAAATTGGAGTGGTTGAGCAGCATACCCTAGTCTCTGGGCCCAATAATGAACAGAGAGATTCTATTCTGCTGTGTCCTATTGAAAGTGCTTGGTACTAGATATCAAACTTAAGTGTCATGGAATGTTTACAGACTACAGAATTATATCTTAGTAGAGTATGGATTCTTTATGCTGTCAGCTTGATCCTTTCTTTTACATATGTGGAATGTTCAGGACCTAGTGACCTTTGAGGATGTGACTGTGAACTTCACCCGGGAAGAGTGGGCTTTGCTGGATTCTACTCAGAAGTGTCTTTACAGAGATGTAATGCTGGAAACCTACAGGAACCTCACTTGTGTGGGTAAGAATGTCATCATTCCTTCACTTAGTCATTGGAGTATGAGTCTTAGTGATGCTCTTCTTTGTTTTGACATGTGGAAAAGGAAGAATTTAGTCAATAAAAAAGGAATTCCTACAATATACATTGAAGCTAGAAAATAGGTCTTATGTAAATTTTAGTAATTTATAATGATTTTTCTGGGCCTTTATTTTAGGAAACAAATGGGAAGACCAAAGCATTGAAAACCAGTCCAAGAATCCTCAGAGAAATCTAAGGTAATTTGCGTGCACAGGTGGAAGTGAGTGTTCCCTGAGGGTAATCTTAGTGTGTTATGAAAATCAAAGATCTAGCAAGGGAGTGTGCATTAGTCACTTTTCTGTTGTTGTGATAGAAACACTGACCAAAGCAACTTATAGAAGGAAGTTTATTTGAGCTTATGGTTCTAGGGGAAATACAGTCCATCGTGGTGGGGAGGTGTGGTGGCAGGATGTGGCTGGAGCAGGAGCAGAAAGCGGAGTACTCACATCTTCAAACAGGCACAGGAAGCAAGAAAGTGACAGGAGAGCTGGCAAGGCTTAAGAACTCTCTAAGCCTGCCCCCAGTGATGTACTTCCTCCAACATGGTCACACCTTCTAAGACCTCACAAAACAGTACCACCGACTGGGGACAAAAATGCCCAAATACTTGGAGCCTATGGGGGACATTCTCATTCAAACCACCACATTCTACTCCCTGGCCCCCATAACCTCTTGACCATGTGAAATGCAAAATGCATTTAGTCCAACCTTAAAAGTCTCCATAGTCTTTACCAGTCTTAATACTACTCAGAACTCCACAGTCCAAAGTCTTTTCTGAGACTCAGGGAAATTGCCCTGTAAAATGAAAAGACAAATCACATACTCATACAGTGGAACTGAATGTACATTACCATTCCAAAAGGGTAGAATAGAGGCATAGAGAAGGAATACCACAGCAAAACAAGACTGAAAACCAGAAGGGCAAATACCAAATCCAGTAGCTCCTTGTCCAGCTTCTGGGACTTTACTTCCAAAGGGCTTAGATGGCTCAGTCTCTCCAGCTTTGCTGCCTGCAACATACATCTCTCTATTGGGCTGGTACCACTCCCTGTATGCAGGTCTTCTTGGCAGATGCCTCACAGCTCTGCACTAACATCTTCTTGGGGTCTCCATTGCCAACCAGGCTTCACCTTCACAGCTTCACACAATGGCCTATCAGGGCCTTCTCTATGCAGAAGAACACCTGCTGCACTCTGCCTGGCCTCCGTGGCTCTCTGAAACTGCAGGTGAAGAACAGACTACCCTTCACTCTTGCATCTTTCATGTTTCTAAAGCCAGCACCAGGTGAACAACACTGCCAAGTATGACTGCAAATTTGGGATGGACCCCAGCCTGCTTTATCCATTTTAGAAGCTTTTCTCTTCAGTGGTCCCTGCAGCATTTTCCTTTCACAAGTTAGAGACTTAGCTGGCTGTGGTCTTGCCCTGGAGGCACTCTTTCCATTATTTAAGTGTAAATCTCTAGGCCTCTCCTTCATCTCCTTATCAAAGGGATCCTCTCCAACACAGTCCTAGGCTCCACCATTTATTTGCCCTGGTGTTCTTTTTCAATCCAAACTGTATATTCTGTCTTTCTGCCCCATTTGCTACTTTTCACTGTAGATCTGCATAATATTCACCATTAATAGCAAGGCCACCGTTTCTACATTTGGCTGTCTTGAAATGTCCTCTGCCAAAGAAATTAGTCCATTGCTTTTCAACTTAGCCCCCAGGCAAGGTTTTTGACTGTGCGCAGACTCCAGCCAGACTCTTTGCCAGAATATCTCAATTATTGCTTAAGTCCTTATTTCCTTCTGGAACTACACTGTTCTCAGCACTATTTTCTTCCAGTCACCTACTAGAATGGCCTGTTAAGTTCCACTTACAGCAATCAACTGCTTTTCTAGCCCAGATTTCCAGAGTCTTCCACATTCTTCCAAAACCCCATATGGTCAGGTTCCCCACAGGTCAGTCAACAACCCACACTCTGCTACCAATTACTGTGTTAGTTACTTTTCTGTTGCTGTGACAGAAACACTGATGAAGCAACTTATAAAGGAAAAGTTTATTTAGCTTATGGTTCCAAAAGGGCACAAGTCCATCATGGTGAGGAGGCATGGTGGCAGAGGTGGCTGGAGGAGGAGCAGAAGCTAAGCTCTCACATCTTCAAGCAGGCACAGGAAGCAAGAGCATTCTTAAGCCTTGCCAAATCTCTGCATCACTGTCTTGCTTAGAGAGGCAGAGACAGGCAGATCTCTATAAGTTCAAGGTCTAGATAGTAAATTCCAGGTCAGCTGGGACTACAGGGAGACCCTGTCTTAAAAAAAAAAAAAAAAAAAAAAAAAAAAAAAAGCACTCTGCCACTGAGCCCCATCCCCAGTCCTGTCTTTTTCCATTTTGACCTAATTTCAATCTTACAGAAATCCTGCAAGAATAGTGTAACAATATCCCATCAGGGCTAGAGAGATGGCTCAGTGGTTAAGAGTGCTCTTGTAGAGGACCTGGGTTTGATTCCCAGCACCCACGTGGCGGCTTCGAACCATCTTTAACTCCAGTCCCAGGGGACCCGACGCCCTCTTCTGACCTCCGCGGTGTTGCACAACACAGGTGCACTCACATACATGCAGGCAACACACTCATACACAAAATAAAAGTAATATTTTTTTAAAAAGTTAACAAAACTAAGCAGCAACTAATGTGCTTGTCATTTTGTTCTTAGAAGGTATGTAGTAGTAACACTGTATGAAGTAACATGCCAAAGGTAGTCAGTGTGGGGAAATCATCAACCAGAAACTACATCTTAATATGAGTACAAAAATTCCTACTGGAGCTGTGCACAGTTGTGCACTCCTTTAATCCAAGCATGGGGAAGGCAGAGGCAGGTGAATTTTTGTCAGTTCAAGGCCAGCCTTTTCTAAATAGCAAGTTCCAGGCTAGGCAGAGCTATATAATGAGACCCTGTCTCTTATTGGAATAAAAACATGTTGATATGAGAAAGATGGAAACATGCACTGCAGTTGTAAACACTGATGAAAAACCAGGGATTCTTTCACAAGTATGCAAAGATACGTGGAAATCTACAATGTGTAGACACTAATTATGAGGTATATCTAAAATCATTACTTTTTCCCAGTTTATTTGAAATACATCAAAAACTTAACTGTGGAGAAAAATCCAGTGAACACAAGGAATGTGAAAAACCCTGTTTGTCCTTTACTTTGCACACATGAAATAACTCCCAGTGTAGAAATATGTCATGAACATAAGCTATTTGGCAATGCATGGACTTCTTCCCATTTTCCTAATAATCATGAATTCATAGAGGAGGAAAGCCCTATAAATGTAAGCCGTGTGGTAAGCTCTTCGTTTTTTGTTTTTCATTTCAAAGGCATGAAAGAACTCATATTGGTGAACAACTCTATGAATGTGAAGAATGTGCAAAAGCCTTCAGATGTCTCAGTGATCTTCAAGTACATAAAAGAAAGCATAGTGGAGGAAAACTCTATGAATGTGGACTCTGTGTTAAGTCTTTCATTTCTCCCTGTTTACTTAAAGTGCATGAAGCATCTCATACTGGACAGAAGTCTTACAAATGTAAGATATGCACTAAAGACTTTATTAATCCCCTTTTACTTAAAATGCATAAAAAATCACATACTGGGAAGAAGATGTATGCCTGTAACCAATGTGGTAGAGCTTTGGATAGTCGCCATTCCTTGCTAGAACATAAAACAACTCATAATGGGGAAAAGGCTTATGAATGCAAACAATGTGGTAAGTCTTTCACTTGCTCCTCTGTACTTAGAATGCATGAAAAATTTCATACTTTGGAAAAACCCTATGCTTGTAAACAGTGTGGTGAAGCCTTCAGAAGTAGCAATTCCCTTCAGAAACATAAAATAACTCATATTCCAGAAAATCCCTATACCTGTAAACAATGTGGTAAGGCTTTCATTTATCCATCTCTACTTAAAACTCATGAAAGTTCTCATACCGTGGAAAAACCATATGCCTGTAAACAGTGTGGTGAATACTTCAAAAATCGCTATTCCCTTGAGAAACATAGAATAACTCATACTGGGAAAAAGCCTCATGAGTGTAAATACTGTGGCAAGACTTTCATATATCCCTCTGAACGTAAAAAGCATGAAAGATCTCATACTGGGGAAAGACCCTATACTTGTAAACAATGTGGTAAAGCCTTCCTAAGGAGCAATTCCCTTCAAAAGCATAGAAGAACTCATACTGGGGAAAAACCCTATGCCTGTAAGCAATGTGGTAAGGCTTTCATTTATCCCTGTTTACTTAAAACACATGAAAGATCTCATACTGGGGAAAAACCTTATGCCTGTAAACAATGTGGTAAAGCCTTTATTTGTTCCTATTCACTTAAAGTTCATGAAAGATCTCATTCTGGCAAAAAACCCTATGCCTCTAAATAATATGGTAAAGCCTTCTTTTCTCCCTATTTATTTGAAATTCATGAAAGATACCATTCTATGCTTCTAAACAATGTGGTAAGTCTTTCATTTACCCTTCTTTACTGCAAATGCATAAAAGAACTCATTTAAAAAAATTCTATGCATATAAATAATACGGGAAAGTCTTCGACTATAAGGTTTTACTGCAATTACGTAATTCATGCTGGAGAAAAACCACAGGAATTTAAATAGTGCGGCAAAACCTTCAGATTTATAGGATCCCTTTAATTCCATAAAACAACTTATTTTAAAGAAAAACTGTATAAATGTAAACAATAATAGATCGTATGGTATATTCTATTCTAAACTTCACAGATGTCTATATTTTACTGAGTAGTAAATGTAGTAATGCTGATAAACTTTTGCATATCAAAGATACAAAAGGATTGGTGCATATATGTGTAAGGATATGGGAGAAAGACTGTTACACCTCTGGGGGCATGTACCATGAGCACAACTTTCAGACCTACATGTTGTTCTGAATGATTCAGCAAATGTAAAGGTGTAGGGCATAACTACATTACTGTAGATTTTAAGTACTGTAAACTTATACTAAATTTATAAAGAATTTTTTTTTATCAAAGTACTTGCTTATTACTTTTTGTTTTGTTTTGTTTTCCTTTGGGACAGGGTCTCCCTTTAGCCCCATCTGGCCTGGAACTTTCTTATTTGCTATGTACCAGGCTGGCCCTTATCTCACAGAGATCTGCCTGCCTCTGCCTCCTGTGCATTGGGATTAAAGGTGTGTGCCACCATGCCCAGCTGCATATTATTTTTATAAACATTAAATATTTTAATCCAACACTTTGGAGTTTAGTGTTCTTCTTGGCCTAGGTAATAATAGGAGTGAAGCCTCTAGTCCTTTCGATGTTTATGATAATACTTAGCAAAAAACATTGTACAACCACATAAAAAGTTTTGTATTCCTTTCCTATAAGTTTCTCTCTATTTTACATCATTAAATTACCATTCACTGGTGAAGCCATCTAGAAGTGAAATGAGCTTCAAGAAGATGGTAGTGACAATACCAGGTTCAGTGAGCTCAGGCAATGTTTAGTACCATTCCTTTTGTTTAGTCTTCAGAGTGTAGTCACTATGTTAACCTGTAATACTTGAATAGTAATTTTTATAGACCTGTACATCAATATTGTTGTAGAAGTTGAAGAGGGGTGGCTCAGTCTACAGTTACACACCTGATATTGATCCACATCACTTGAGTACCTGCTGTCAAACATGTATCAATATTTATTACCCTCAGTAGAAGGAAATCAAGAAACCTCTTCACCTTCATTGAAATTAAGGAACATAACACAGCCCTGAGAGGACACAGCCCGTGCACACTGATGACACTTGCACTTGCATCCCAGTTCTTTTTTTGGTTTTTGAGACAGGGTCTCCTTGTAGCCCCAGCTGACCAGGAACTCACTATGTAGACCAGGCTGGCCTCGAACTCACAGAGATCACCTGCCTCTGCCCCCAGTTCTTTTAAAAAAATTTTTATTTTTAGCCGGGTGTGGTGGTGCACGCCTGTAGTCCCAGCACTTGGGGGGCAGAGGCAGGCGGATCTCTGTGAGTTCAAGTCCAGCCTGGTCTACATAGTGAGTTCCAGGACAGCTGGGGCTACAGGGAGACCCTGCTTCAAAAACAAAAATTATTTTCGTTTTCTGTGTATTAGTGTATTGTCTGTATGTAGTAGGTACACTTGTGTCATGCAATGCCCACAAAGGTCAGAAGTGGGAGTCAGATTCTCTGGAACTGGAGTTATGGGAGGTTGTTAGCTGTCATGTGGGTGCTGTGAATTGAACTTGGGTCCTCTGCAAGGGCAGCCAGTACTCTGAATTGCAGAGCCATCTCTCCTGCCCCCCCACCCCCGTTCTTTACAATTGATATAAGCCATTTCTCCTCTTCCAAGTGCTTGAGGAGAGTGTTAGAATAGCACAGAGGTCCTTGTTAGATTGTACCGCAGGTCCCCCTCTTCCATTTATGGTACAAAACAAAAAAAAACCTCTCAGTCCTTTTGACTGAATATTTGCACATTTTTGAATGCTACACTGAATACACAAACTAAAGAGTAAATTAAATAGTGTTACTGAATTGACAATCCAATTCTAGAGCTTTCTAAGCATGTTGAAATCTCATGCATCATTGTGATACTTCATCTTGCCGACTAGACGGAATAATTTACAATCATCATGGAAATAAACTTCTGGTCATTTCTGTGAAGGAGTTTTTAGATTAGGTAATGTGAAGTGGCAAGACACATCTTAACTACAAGTGGTGTCGTTCTCTGCACTAGCACTCAGGATAAAGCAAGCTGAGCACTGCCATCCATTGCATCTCTGCTCTCTGACCGTGGATGCGATGTGACCAGCTGCCTTATGCTTGCTGCCATGTCTTCCTTGCCAGGGTGGACTGCACCCACAAGGTAGGTCAGATAAACCCTTGGTGCTTTGGTCAGGTATTTTGTCCCTGTAACACAAAAAAGTAACTAATAAAACCAAACTCAGGATCTTTTGCATCTGTTCAGCTCTTCCCATGAATCACCTTACTAGTGCCTTTAAGAGTGCTCGTGCTGTGTGCCAGGCCTCGTGGACCACATCCCTACTGACTTCTCTGAGGTACACCTGGAGAACACTTCCCTCAGCAGCTGCTTTCAGGGAACGGTGCACCCTTCACCTGCATTTTCAGTGCCTGCTCTCTCTTTCCTTTTCAAGAACTTTGCAGTTTCAGAAGTTGGAGCTTTTGGTGGGTGGATTTTGGCCTTTGGGATATTTTCCATCATCCCAGTGCTGAGTAGACTGTTTTTCTTCCACAATTCCAGCCTCTTTTTTTTAGCATGACTCTTGTTTGTAAAGTTTTAACTGGTTTTTAGATCTCTTTTTCCTCCACTAACTTTATGTCTAATTTTTTTTTCACTATAGACCTGGATAAGTAGAAACCAAGCGCCAGACTGAATGCGTATCCCATCTTGGTATTTTCTTTTAAATTAGTATATTAACAAAGCAGTATATTAACTTTAAATTCATGGTCACCCAAGTTTTCAGGACACATATAAAATGGTCAAAATATCACATGGAATGTCCCTAGCTGAGTTCCTGGTGGAGTGAGTCCTTGTTCACCTCTAGAACCTCATGAGACAGGCCTCCACAATCCACATGTCTCTCAGCATTCCTATCTTCCGACCTGCCACCAAAATGGCCCATTGAGTACTGCCTCCAGCAAGCTCTGGGGCATTTCTAGCCAGAAGTACAAACGTTTCCACATTCCCTGAGAAAACATTTCCAATGACTAAGAGCCATAAGGCCAGATTTATCATAGCAATAACCCTAATTCTCAGTACCCAATGTCTTTATTTGTTACTATACATCTTGCTGTGATAAAATATTCTGCCCAAAGCAATTTAAGGAAGAAAGGGTGTATTTTGGCTCACAGTTTGAAGTTACAGTTTGTTGTGGTGGGAAGTTAATAGCAATAGAAGCTTGAGGAAGCAGCTGTTCACAGGCATGCACAGGTAGCAGATAATGATGAGCACTGGTGCCCAGCTAACTTGTTACACCTTTGTGTGTGTGTGAATATGAATGCTTAAATACTTTTACAAACATAGCCTTAGCACGCCTTTGATGCCAGCACTCAGGAGGCAGAGGCAGGCAGATCTCTGTGAGTTCGAAGCCAGTCTGGTCTACATAGCGAGTTCCAGGCCATCTGGGGCTACAGGGAGACCCTGTCTCAAAAGGACCGAACAACAACAACAACAAAACCATAGCCCTAGGACCAATGGGCTCTGTCTTTAAGCTAAACACACTTACACAGAGTAAACCACTATGCGTTACACCACACACACGATAATTAGCACGCCTTTGATGCCAGCACTCAGGAGGCAGAGGCAGGCAGATCTCTGTGAGTTCGAAGCCAGTCTGGTCTACATAGCGAGTTCCAGGCCATCTGGGGCTACAGGGAGACCCTGTCTCAAAAGGACCGAACAACAACAACAACAAAACCATAGCCCTAGGACCAATGGGCTCTGTCTTTAAGCTACACCACTTACACTGTGTCAACTGTGAGTCTTACAAGAGTCACAGCATCATCCAGTGCATAGCCCCAAAATGCAGTTGGTAAGAAGGGACATTTGAAAAAGTCAAGTAGAAATTTCAACTTGAATAGTTTACCTCTTCAACCTTATAAAATCTAGATTCTTAATATATAGGTATATACTTTCTACTTTAAACAAAATAAATAATGTTTTAAGTATCAAACAGTATGTTATCTACCCTGTAGACAGTATGTTCTTATTTCTGTCTCTCTCCCCCCCTCCTTTTTTTTTCCGTCTTTTTGATAGTGTCTCCCTGTAGCCCCAGCTGGCCTGGAACTTACACTATAGACCAGGCTGGCCTCTAACTCACAGAAATCTGCCTTCCGCTGCCTCCCGAGTGCTGGGATTAAAGGCATGCGCCACCACACCCAGCTATTTCTCTTTATTTTTACTTTTTGATGGTGTTTCAGTCCCTAGTACTGCCAAAAATAAAAAAAGGCAGGAAAAAATTGGCTCTAGATTTTATCTGGAAACAGCATTTATGCTGTGTAGAAATGATAACAAAATGTTACATTTTCAGTTAATGAATTCCCAAGTAGCAATTTGGTATTAGCAACATTTCTGACTTGCCTTCATTCAAAGGTCATAGGTTAAGGAATCCTTATTACCCAAATGTAGATACTTAGAAATAGTAATAAGGTAGGTGGCCACAATCTAACTTCCATAGTGCCTAGAGGTCATAAGTAGCCATTAAAAGCTGCCAGAATGTCAACACTGAATGTACAAGTGTGTTACAGATTTCTAGAAGTTTCTTCTTTCATAAGAGTACCTGTTTAGGCTGTGAAAAATGGGATTTGAGAGTATTTCGTTATTTTCTATTATGGCACAAATGCTTACACAGCCTTTTTGGCTGTGGCAATGAACAGTTCTGTTTCCTGCCATCAATACAAAGAGCTGTGGGAGTTGAGCAGGCTGAAGGGAGTGGGGAGCTTCTTGGCTTGAGGCCTCGCCAGGCCAACCGCTGGGAGACACAATGTGCTGGCCGACTTCTGCCCGCTCTTACTGGTGCCCAGCTCAGAAAGGAGAGCTTTTTTGAGATCTTGGCTTTATCAGTTTTGTCATCATCGTCCATGGAGTAAGTTTTCTGCATTCCCACAGAATACGTGGTACACTTGTTACACATGGACAAGTTGGGGTCCAGGAGACTCATGACCTCCAATCTCAACCTCGTCCCCACCAAAGCTCTTCAGCAGCTTCATAACCTCACTCACTCTCAGCCATTTACAGTCCATGCCTTGAATGGAAACAATATAATCCCCTTCTTTGGCTCCTGCCAATAAAGTAAGGATCCAGGAAGTACACTTGGACTGGAGTGTTCCTTCACAAGGTAAATTCCAGGTCTCCTTCCTCCACTGTGAACTGAATCTTCTGTCCATCTCTTGTTGGCAGAAAATACAGACAGAGGACCCAGCTTCTGGAAGACGTGCATTACTGTCACTTTGGAGAACTGGGGTAATATTATTTTGACCTCTTGCTCAATTTTTGGAAGAACATCTGGAGCATCAATCAAGTTCAGAAGATCAT